AAATCACCTTAGACGAAATTGGGTGAATACATCTCGTATTATTGAAAATGTCATGTCCAGCAGTACCACAAGGCATGACTTTTCGGCTGCCGATAAAATATACGGTCGATAATAATCAGGGAAAGTCTTAATAAATTTAAAGAGCTGAGGTTTTAGGAAGCTAATTAGACATGAAAGCAAATGAATATTAATGTTGAAGTCCCCTTCATTTCGTTTAAAGAAGCGAGTAGAATGGATTTGTAAGTTGGCCTCACTTGATTGTGATTGGGGATTTGTGTGAATAGGTCCTCGGCGCCCCGCACTGCGACCCCGATAAACCTGTTCTAAGCTTTGCTATGTTACTTGACAGATATCATGAAATGGAGCTACATCTCACGGTTATCTCTCTTCTCATGCAATAACCAGTGAAGCATGACTCACTGGCACTGTGTCCCACTGCATCTAGCCTCTTCATTAAACCAATCATAACGTGGTACAAAAAGTACACAAAAGTATGTTAAGAAGTGGATCAAGCTCGTTGTCGCAACTTGGACTTGTTGTCCGGGCGACTTAGTAGAACGCACCTATTCCGAAGTCGTCTGCCATAATAATTGGCATGACTTCCAGCATCCGACAGTGGACTTGATACATTCTCAAACGTTTCGGCATCAGTGAGTGCTGCCATGCTCCGCACCAAGCTACGAACTCGTCAACGAGACAAGTGAAGTCAATCATTCCACCAACGTTCTGCTGAAAACGGTTATACTATCACTCCTCTTCCTGTTCTGGCCCATCTATCAACTCTTTACCCTCTTATCCAACTCCCGTTCTATCACAATTACTCACTTATTTACATTCAACTCGTCAAAATATATGACCTTTTGTGGCAAATCTGGTGTGGCCTCATCACACTTGCTATTCACCCCGACGCTCTCTCTTTCGATCGGCTTATCCCACTCAAGCCTCCAATCCGGATCTCCGTCATGGACCCGTAGATCCGTTCCTTAACTTTTCGGTTGACCGATTTCACTTGGTTGCAGTCCCAGTGTGCGTTTCACTCCGAACACTACTTTCAAGGCCTTAGAAGCACGTATACTGCGGCCTCACCGAGCAGAGTGCCTAGGCTCTGATTTTCATGCTTGCAGATCTCAGACATTGTCTTCACGGGTCGTCTCCTTGACTAAACCCGTGTAACCTGAGCAAACTGTGGGTGTCTAACTCTGGTCGAATGCTGAATCGCAAGTGGATTTCTAGTACATTTTGGTCATAACGTCGAATTTCTGTGAAGGTTTGCTTATCCGTCTCCCTAACTCCCTCACTGCCAGGCCCCCCGACATTAACATAATAGAAGAGAACCTTAAGTTATCACCGCTACAACCAGCAGATCTCATGCGGTACCTAGATGATTACTTCGCTCTTTGGTCAGATGGAAGAGAAAAATTGGAAGATTTTCTGAAGATGAGTTTCGAGACTACCAGTAAATCAGTAATATGAGATGTATTCACCCTATACTTGCTTTCCCAAAAGTTGTTCTCATCCAGGCTTAAGTGGACTGCAGTTTCGACCTCGCATCGGTCTTATCAACACCCCCAGCGGAAGCTGAACACTGACATTGCAGAATGGGTACTTGACACGCTAACCACTCGACCACTGGGGATGTTGATAAGACCGATGCGAGGTCGAAACTGCAGTCCACTCTGAATGAGAACAAATTTTGGGAAAGCAAGGCTATGTGAAATTCAATGGAAACGTCAGCTCAACTCATA